GATTGGTTAGCTATTATTTGCTTTTATATTCATAAGACAAAAATTTGATAGCATGCAACTCAGTAATGTAAGAGCAAAATTGGTAAAAATAATATATACATCTAGAACTGTTGAAAAAAGCTAAATATTTTTACATTGATCTTATCTAATTTATGTAGTAAGTTGGTAACATGAAAACAAATTATGCTTACTGAGTTGGTAATTTTGACTGCTTGAACTATTTGAATAAGTTAAGCAATATTATTTTTTTTGAGGGGGGATAGAGTACCAGGGATTGAACTCAGGGCCACTCAGCCACTGAGCCACATCCCCAGCCCTATTTTACATTTTATTTGGAAACAAGGTCTCACTGAATTGCTTAGGGTCTTGCTTTTACTGACGCTGGCTTTCCACTCATGTTCCTCTTGCCTCAGCCTCCTGAGCCACTAGGATTACAGACATGTGCTACCACACCTGGCAAAACAATGTTTTTTTTTTAATTTCTTACCACAGAGCTTGTTAGTAATATGATTTACTAATAGTTGTAACAATAGTAAAAGCCTATATTTTAATGATGTCCTTGAGTTCAAGTCAGTCATATATTAAACATAGTATGTACATAGCCAAAGAAATATAAAATAGTTTGAATTTAAAAAAATATGACAGAAGACAAATATTTTACCATAAATTTTGATAATTTCATGTTTTTTCTCTAAATTCTATCTGAATGAATATAATTCTGATTCATTTTATCTCAATAGTATTCAACTATATAGAACTATTCTCAATACTATATAACCTGGTATAAAAAACTTACTTTGCAGATAGTGACACATATTTATATCAATCATGGGTCATGTGATTAAAAATCTCATGACCAATGCATTTGCCTCAATTTTTAATATTGATGTGAATTGCCAATATGTGAGCTATTTGAAGAAATTGCTGATCATAAAGCATGTGATGATGGAAACAGTTACATCATTTTCAAATGTTAACACAAATTTATCTTGATGGAATAAATCTCAATCTCATTTGTTCATGAAATATTTTTGAGAATTTGTACAGATATTGCCGATTTCAGCCTGCTGATACTTTGTTAAATATTTTTGCATCTGTATTCATAAGGAATATAAATCTCTTATGATATTTTATAGCATACTTGTTAGAATTCATCATCAAGTTTATAGTGATGTTATAGACAAGTTGAGAAGTAGTCACTTCCATTATATCTTCCTTAAATATTTGCTAGGATTTACCATGCTTGGCATAAGCCCCTGGAACTTTCTTTGGGGGTGTTCATATTTGTGAATCATTTTTCTTTAATAGATAGAGGGTTCTTAATACTTCCTGTTTCATCATGTGAAAGTAATCTTCTTATAAATTCAGAAATCATGTCTTTATGATAGCTGTTAAAGTAGAATTTTGAAAATGACATATTAACCTTGAACATGACCTCCCATTTTCCAGAAGGACACTGTAGAGAAGTTGAATATTTGAGAGCTGTAGTTACTGAGCAAAAGGCAGGAGAAGTCCAGAGCCAACCAACTCCTTGGAGTCTCTGATGCTGAGGTAGTTTTCAGCAAGATAGCATTCCCTGTGGGCAGACTGAAGCTAATTAAAGAAACAGTAGGAAGCTCAGTTACACTGAATGAGCAAATACCAGAGGGGTTAAGATAAACATTATCTTGATGCTGTGTGAATTGGAACACAGATGGAAGTGATATAATACCTCAACTGGCTTCAGTAACAGAGACAATTTTAAAGGTTATACCCTGTGTGATTCCAATGACACAGGTATAGAAAATGGGAATGGACAAGTGTAGCAGGGAGAAAAGATATAATTATGTAAGAGCGGTCCTTCAGCTTAATAACAATGATGATTATATGAATTTATACGTGTATAAAAATTTCCATATAATTATACACAACAGAATAAACAATGAATGCATCCAAAATATGATAAAATCAGAATAAAGTTTGTAGTTTAGTTAAGTATCCTGTACCAGTCAATTTCCTGATTTTGATCATGCACTATAGTTATGTGGATATCACCATTGGGTACAAGTATTGGGTACAAGAAACCAATCATGATTATTTTTGCAATATTATATGAGACTATGATTACTTCAGCATAAAAGTTAAAACAAATTAAAAGAATAAATAAATAGAGGAATGTGCCCACTCACACAAAATAAATAAATAGGACAATACTAATGCCAGGGGTTTCGTATGATATCGTTAGACCTACTTTTAGAATATATCTAATTTTGCTCTCTTTCACATTGGCTTCTGTAAAATGTTTAATGCAAAAACAGTCATTTCCAGAGTCGAGTACTGTGTGTGTACATGTGTGTGTCTGTGTGTCTGTCCTATTCCCCTAATACAAAATCTTATATCTAAACACCATTGGGAAAAACTAAGCCATATGGTCATATCTAAGCCAATAACACTGCCCATATTCAGTGTATATTGTTGAGCCAACCCCATAAAGATCATGAAAATGTGGGATTGGAAAGGGTGAGATGCTACTGACAGAAGAGAGAATAGGTGCTTAGTGTCCTGCAAAACTACTAGGAGAGCATGACATTACCCAGAGTGTCCAGGCATTTCAGACACCAGGAGAAGGTCATAGTCTGATTGATTATTACAGAATACACTGAACATTCAAACAGAAATTCTTAATACACTCTTTGACTTATGCAAAATAAGTTTCAGGAACTAGGTGGTATTAGAAAAGGCTGGAACTATGCACTAAGATGGAAAATACTTTCCCCAAACTCTGATTCATTAAGCATGCATAAAGTATGCTCCCTAGAGCTACGTATGCATAAGTGATTTGAGTAATGCTACAAGTCTCTGGGTACCCAGAGGACATTCTACTTGCAGTCATCCTCTTTACCATCATGTGTTAGTTGCATTGTCTCACTCAAGAATCTTCATTCAGCTGTGAACTGTGACGCATAATCTTGCTTCTCTTACAACTCTAATGTCAATATTTGTTCAAGTATTTCAGGTCCAAGGGTCTTTTGCCCTTCAGTACCATTTCTGCTTCTAGGAAATCTGTCTCTGAACTCTGTTCTCGTATTCCTTAGATAAAAACTTCTCATCTGTCAGAGCAGATACTTTTATTTTTTATTTTGTAAATCACAAATTTGTCACAGCAGGTGAAATTTCTCTCACCTTCTACCTCCATAAATAATAGCATGTTTAACTATAGCTTAGTGGTAGGTATCAATCCTATGCCTTCCAAGACCCAGATAAAAATCATACCCTCAGGGTTTTCAAAATTTGCAAATTTGATCAAAGCACTAACAATGAAATAGAATAAAGTCAAAAAGGAACTAGGATCAAGAAAACTATCCAAAGGACTGTCTGAAACTGAAAATCTGCCCACTGTGAATTCTTGTCATTTATTTTTGTTTGTATACTTTTCTATACTTCTTTCTATTATTTTGATAGGTCACCAGTCATATTAGTTAACATTTATAATATTTGTAAATTTATTGGATTAAAAGGATATTGTAACATGCATGACTTTATTGGATAAATAGTTCAGAAATTCAAATAAAATCCACTTTAAAAAAATGAAAGAGAAATATACCGTTTAGAGTTATGGTTTAGGTAGGAGGAATTCCCACAAAGCTCATGTGTGAGAAAATGCAAAAGGGTTTAGAGGTGAAATGATCAGGTTATGAGAAACCTAATCAGTGCATTAATCCACTTGATTGGATTAGCTGAGTGGTGATTATAGGTGAGTGGACAGTGGCTGGAGAAGATAGGTCAGGGAGAACATACCTTTGAGTTTATGTTTTTTCCCTAGTGAGTCAAACTCTCTCTGCTTCCTGATTGTCATGTCCTGAGCTGCTTTCCTTTCCATACCCTTCTGCCATGATGTCCTGCCTTACCTCCAGCCCAGAGCAATGGAGTTGGTGGTCTATGGAATGAGACCTCTGAAACCTTGAGCTCCAAATAAACATTTCCTCCTCTAAACATGTTCTTGTCAGTTCTTTTGATCATAGCAGCAAAAACAAAACAAAACAAAATCTGACTCTAACACTTAGAAAACTCACAATTGCAAGAAAGGCAAAGTTAATGCTAAGCTATAACAATTAGAAAACTCCAGTGCCACCATACCTCAATCTCTATCTTTCACTTTTCCTTTTCCTTCTTCTCTCTTATACTTTCTCACCTCCATTGATTTCCTTTGTTATATCAAAGATAATATTGGAGGTTTGGAACTGGCAACTTTCAGAAATCTGCATTTTTACAATCAGAGAGTAAATAAACCTTTCTCTTTTATTCCAATTCCAAAATCCTTCAGGCAAGTACGGGTGGTGTTGTGTGTGTACACACACACACACACACACACACACACACACACACACACACACATATATATATATATAAGAATCACGAGCCCATTCCTGAGGATAATGGATTATGTTCCATGGTTGACAGATATAATGGGGGGAGGAGTTATTCTCACCAAAAAGAAGATGGTGCCTGGCTACTTGGAGAGATGTTTCATAGGCCAGTAATTATTGTCTAGCATGTGCTCTCTGTTTTGTAACTGCTTTATTTTCTCCTCCTAGCCCACAATTATGCAAACATTACTCGCATACTGTACTTTCCATACTAGTGTAAACACAAACTGACTTTTTCAGCTCTGCAGGTTATCTGAAAAGCAGCCATCTTGCACTATCAAAATGCTGACAATCCATTCATGCCCCAAAGTGTCCTTTGCTCACACTGTTCACAGGCAAACCAAAATTCCTACCAATGAAGCTACCTTGACTACTTGTGCCTACCCAGATAAATCTAAGTATATTCAACAGAGATTACAATTTAAGTTCTAGCTCTAGGACTTCTGTTATATACAATTAAAGTATTATGTAGTATTTCCATACATTAAATTTTCATTTTGAATAAATTGAAAAGGATTCAGTGTAGACCACCTAATCAGTCAAAGATATGAATCACTTGTGTTACTTGGCTAGCTCAAATGTAATTAAGATTGCAATGAGGTGTATCACTATGGGGCCTTTCCTGTAGCAGCACGTTGTTGAAAACATCTCATAGAGTAACTTTGTGGTTTTGTTTTCCTCAAAGGACTATTAAGTCTCTGGGAAAAAAACTTCAAGACAGTTACTAAAAGTATGAGGTACCTAATAAACATTTAAAAGAAGAAACTAAGATTGCAATTAAGATTTCAGGAATTTCAGAAGGTAATTACTGTTAAATTAAGCCAAGATTACACCCCTAGTTCATGCAGCTGGTCAAAATGCCATGAATGAAAATTAGAAATAGTCTAAGTTATTTGACCCCACCAAAAAATAGATAAATAAATAAGATAAAATAAAAAACAAAACAATAAGATGCATTTTCTTTCCTTTAAAACCCCAGGTTATCAATGTCTTTTTTTCTACATATCCATGGTGATGAGTTATGATGTACATCATGAAAGTTTTGTAGTAACAGAAACTATAGTACCAAACCTCATAAATAATTATCTTTTCAGTAAATAATTTCACTTTTGTGAATCTAAGCTCATATCACATTATAAGGCATTATTCTCATTCACATCTTTCCAGTGTTCCTCCTTGAACCTGAAGAAACTACCTTGTAATGAGAACACTAGGATTTAAGCTACTGAAGCATGTTTAACAGGACTGAAATGACCATATTAGTATTTGAGAAAAAGCATGCCAACTTCACTAAGAAATGTAACAAAATATGAAACACATAGGTAAGTCCTAAGCTGCTACAGTAATTCTACAGAATTACTGGTTGATTGGAAAGCAATGACCAGAAGCAGCACCACTTGTAATTCATGTTGTAAAAAGGACATAATACAACTTAAGTTACATATATGGACTACTTTAAAAAAGATCACTCCAAAATATTTACTGTAAATTAATGAGAGTTAAACTAAATTTTATTGGGTAGTTACCCCATTGGGGACATCTTCAGGATTCTATAGATATAATTAAACACAAAACATTTTTAAAATCCCTGCTTTCATAAAATTTACATACCAGATAGGAGCATGAAGAAAATAAACAGTAGTAATAAGAAAAATATAGACTATATTCCATACTGACAAATACTACAGAGAATAATAAAACAAGAAAAAGGATTAGATTGTCTGAAGACCAAAAAATGCATATTAATAGGGAGTATTTGACTGAGAAAGTGGATTTGAGTAAAGTCTTGAAGAAAATGACAGTAAACAGGTATAAAGAAAGAGGATTTCTAGGAAAGGCAGTATTCCTGAGCAGAAAAGCGGTGTTTCCTGAGAGGTCAGCACAACAAAAGCATACAGGAGGTGAGGTAGTAGAGGATAAGACCAGGCAAGAGTTGTGGGGTCCATATCACACAGAGCCTTGCAAATCATGGCAGGACTTAGGATTTTGTTAAGAAGATGAAAAGTCATTAGAATGATCTGAACAGAGGAGTGGCTTCATTTGACATTAATAGGCTTACTCTGGCTGTTGTGTGACAGCTGACTTATAGGAGGGAAGAACAACAAAGATGGAAAAAGGCTCTCCAGTTAGGACACTTTTGGAATAATGCAGGTGAGGGATGATGGATTGCATCAGGGAGATAGAAGAGCAGTAGTGAGAAGTGCTTATATTCTGAGTATTTTTTGGAGGTAGAATTTATACAATTCACTGTCAGACTAGATAGCAGGCATGAGAGAAAGAAATGGGAAAATAATTTGCCAAGGATTTTAGACTAAGCATTCAAAGACAGTATTGGGAGCTATCATTCAGCTCTCTATAAAGGTATATCATTGGTAATTCAAGAATTAAGCACATCATATCTGAATACTATACTGGAATTACTAAAATACATGGATTAGATACTATTTCTCAGAATTTGAATACTTAGGTCATTAATTGACCTTCTCTGCTTTAAGTGTGATATAATAAATCATTTACCTTGGCTTTGTTGTTTAGACTGTGGATAGAAATTGTATAATTGTTTTCTCAGGATACTATTTTATTTTACATCCTTGCAAAAAAAAATACTACAAATCATTAAATAGAAAAATTGAAGAATATTTTCACTGCTTTCAGACTTCTGTAAACCCGTATAGTATGTTTATTCTTTATTTTTTTAACATAATCTTTTATCATCTCTTCATAAAACCACAAGGTTAAAATACTATTTTCTTTAGAGTCAATATAAGGATAATTTAGCTGTTCCTCTAGCTTAGTTAACTAAATTTTATTTGTGTTATTAAGAGTTTAAACTGGGCATGGTGGTGCATGCCTATAATTCCAGTGGTTCAGGAGGCTGAGGCAGGAGGATCACAAGTTCAAAGCCAGCCTCAGGAACAGCAAGGTGCTAAGTAGCTCAGTAAGATCCTGTCTCTAAATAAATTACAAAATGGGACTATGGATGTGGCACAGTGGCTGAGTGCCCCTGAATTCAATCCCTACCCACCTCCAAAAACAAAGTTTAGAAAAGTTTATTTGTAATTTTAATCTTCATATGTTTTAATTTATTGTGTGATGATATAGTTTGGGAATGTTGAAACCCTACTGTGTTTTTAATATTTTTCTTCATTCCATTTAAAAGTCTGGCTTTCACTAATATACTTTCTTCCTGTCATATTTAAATTTTGGCAAGATCAATAATCCTGAAAAAAAATGTAGAAAACTAATCTGAAATTAAGGCCTACAAGACAGCCCTTCAGATATATGTTTACATTGTCTCTACATTGCACTGAGATACTTTTTACTTAATACAACAAATTGCTTTTGCACTATGTATTTTGAATTATTGACAAACATATAAGAGTTTTATCAGTGGAACACTGTTTCTTCATGCTGTTTTTCTGCATTGGTGTCAATTTTACACATCACTTTATCTGAAACTGCTAGACTTCATCAAGACAAATGTGTTAGATATGGTAAACATGATCCCTATACATAAAACATGAGACTTCACATGCAAACAAACTCAGGTACTGCAGGGCTGCTTTCAGTCTATATCCTACAAACACAGTAATTCTGATAAATCACATAGTGCACATTTCCCATTAAAACAAAGAGATGGTGAACTTATAATTGTATTTGATGCTTATTTTTAACAATAGAGGATTTCTGTTCTTGCTAGGCATTAGAGCAAACAAAATCAGTTGCTTAAAATTTTATATATATAATGTTTGGAATAATTTTCCACAGAATAGTTCTAGTTCTGGTTCTGTATGTTTCAACCTTTTTTTTTCCTCCACTACCCACAGTCTTCTGGTGCCAAGCAGGAGATATTGGGCATGCTTATATTGCAATATTACCTCCAGCCTGCACCTTAGAGAGTGGGTCCTTGTATTTCACATGGTAAATCAATGTAGTCAATGATAGAAATCTTTCTGAAGGCCCTTTGAATCATAAGCGGTAGCACAAACACATACAGAAATGACTACAAATCAAATTTAAAATATCCTACTAAAACCAGTTAAAAGTCAGTCCAACTCAAATATATGTTTCCTTTCATTCAGATTTTAAATAAATCCTAGGAACACTCCAAATTCAGCTCTCATAAGTGAAGTGTGGCAGAGGAAAGTCATAATATTATGTATTAAGTTGTGAGCATATTGTACAATAGATATACTAAGATATAACTAAGAAAAATGTAAGTTCATCCATATAAATTCACTGTTTGTAGCACAGCTATAGTTTATACTCCACAAAAACAGGAATTCTGATAAAATGTAATTTTATAATTCTAGAAAAAAAGAAAAGCAGATGGTACATTTATAGTTACTCTGCTCAGCATATAGAATATGTACACATTGGGATAATTTCTGGTTCTAAGTCTCATGATACCTGGTGAGTTAGGATGCCAGACGTAAGGAATATGCCTAGAAATTTCTAAATTTCCATCCAGAGCTTGGAACCAGGTGGGATCAGTAGACCTACCTGGAATCAGGGTCCCAGATTCAAACACTTGGTGTTTCATTCCCCACTTCAGGACACACCAATCATCCCACCTCAAACTATTCTACTAAAGTGGAGAACCAGATGTCCTATGAGGTTCTTAGAATCATGCTTATGAGTCAGTCTTGAGTATTAGGAAAAACTCCAGTTAAAGAATGGTGGCCTAGTACTGGCAAACATTGGATGGCATGTTATTTTTTTTTTATATAAGTTTACTTAAGATCAGGTCACAAAAATAGTGCTGATGTGCTATTTTCCTCAGACATATCAGATGTGGGATTCATTCAGGGCTCTGAACTAACAACAGTGCACTTTTATTCCTTGGTCCAAAGCTATCATTTTTCTGAGTTCCACCTGCTGGCCACTTAGGTTTCATAGAATGTTTTTGATATTCACTCTTTCAAACAAATCTTGTATTTAAAAAGTCTCACTTAGAGGTTGGGATTGTGGCTTAGTGGCAAAGCATTTGCTTCGTGTGCGTGAGGCACTGGGTTCAATCCTCAGCACCACATAAAAATAAATAAATGAAATAAAGGCATTGTGTCCATCGATAACTAAAAAAAACATATTTTTTAAAAAGTCACTGCATTTCATTTCAAAAAACATTTCTCATTGGAATGCCTTTAATCTGTAAGATTTGTTTTTATAAGAGTTTTTCCTCTCATAAATAGCATGTATCTTACCCTTTATAACAATAAACTATAAAATTATTTTTTTCACATTCTTAAATATTCTATACCCACTGTGAATGAAATATTTCCTGGCTTACTATTCTATTAGAGGAGCTAATGATTTTTGTGTGATATCTGTTAATAACTATTGAAATGTTTCATTAGTGTTAATATCCTATCATTTATTTAATTTGGTGAGTATAGCCTTTACAATGAATAATAGTTTTATCTGATTGTTTTGCTTATTTCTGAGATATCAAATAGTGACAATAAGATTATCTTGTTAATTTCTTTAATACCCTATCTCCTGCTTGTAATAACTTTTGTTAGCTTTATCAAACTAGGAACAATCTAAAAAATGTGTCTGTTTTGTATTTTCCCATTTATCTAGAAGACTTCCTTTTCAATTATCATTTATAACCTAATCAATTTAGGATTCCTTCTCCAGAGTTACATCTTCCTAATATCAAGATTATAATGTATGGTTTTACTAAAAGAATTTCAATTTAGGGAAATTGAGGAAGAGCCTTA